CGAATCAGGTTGCTCTGTGCGCGGAATTTTTCGCTTGACGACCGAGCTGCTTGGCTTTCACGGATCGATGCAATAAGAGGCGGTACACGTTCTGCTGTTTCGGTGCATTCAATGATCAGTGTTTCGGTAACGCTTCTCGATTGCAGGTATGGTTGGCACGCATTCGCCGCTGCTATCGTTTGCGTTGCTGCTGCAGCTGCTTGTTTCGCTGCCTGGAACAGGGGAAAAGTCGGGAAAATGGGAAGACTTATGAACTCTTTTGTTCAGGAGACCGCTAGCTCCGCCAACTGAGTAAGATCTCACCAAAATGACTATAAAGGAGGATAGCTAAACCTGTTCAAGGTGTTCCATGGTCCTTTTAGACTGCTCCTCACTCGTTGCTTCACTGGTCACCGTTACCAATTTCTCAGCAGCACTACGCAGCGCCACCTGCGATTCGGCAGCTTGCGGATGTACCTGGCACTCCTGAAAACGAGTACCAACTGAGAGCATTTAATTTGACTAATTTCAGTTATTTATTGTATATGGAACCAACAACCCCCTCTACGATAAGATTTTACATCAATTTTACTTCATATTTACACACTTAACTTTTAGCTTTACCTATACTAGTTTCAGTAACACAACTATTTAAATTTAAATCAAATTCATACTAACTGCCACAATCGTCGTACTGACGAGGCCAACTATGGTAATGGTAAGAAATATACACGACTTAATGGACCGAAACATTTCTTACAATAATATGTTTTATAATTAAACATTTCAAGTTTTTATTAATTTCTTAACGCTACTAGCTTTTTTTTCTTCCTACATTAAAAAATTTTACTTACTATGACTCACGCATGCTTTTCCCACGAATGTTTTCATCTAACGATATCAGTCTTTTTACAGAACAGTGAAGAAGCTAGAAAGTGAAGCAACCTCTTATAATAAGAAGTGTTCAAGCCGTTAAAATCGGATGGAAAGTCATCATAATGTTAGGTAATGAAAATTTTTAGTAGATTTGCATTTTGCAGTAGATCGAATACAGGAAGAATGGGGAAAAAGCACGGCAGGAAGTAGGGGAGTTCGCCCTCAATTTACTGATCCCACTATTTTCATCCTTCACCCCACTCGCCTCTTTGTTACTTTGGATTTGCTTTTTGCTGAAACCCGTCAGCTTAACCTGTTTTAAATTTTTTCTATATAACTGTGGAGCATAAATACCTCCCAGTGTTGCCATTGGCAGCTCCACCTATCCTCAGAATATGCTGTGCTCTTGGAAATTCAATATATACCTCCCCGATTTGTTGTGCTTCCGTACTAGCGCACTTAATTTATCACTCGGTCGACTAAGGTAAGAATATACGAAGGGGATAGTTATATTTGATTCTGCACAGAAACCTGTGTTCTACGGACTACGACATTTCGCAAACTGTCTGGGACACCCGTTTTTATGCGTTTTTTGCAGCTATGCAATGCAGAAAACGCATATTGACGAGAGGTTGTCCGTGTATGTATTTGTGTGTGTGTCTGTGTGTGCGCTGCGCGTCTGTATTGATTTCTCATCTCCAGACCCACAAAAGCTACGGGGCTGAAACTTGGGGAATTTGATCTGCATGCACGTACGGGCTCCGAAATGAGCGCTCTTATCCGCGTGATACCCATGTACGGGCCTGTCAAAACTTTTCTCGGGTAAGTTGTTAACTCGGGAACCCGAAAAGCTAGAAGGCTGAAATTTAAAGGGGATGTTCCCCGTCCAAATAGGTATTGATAAGTCCAAAACCAGCTCTCGGGTGAGCGTGGTACCCATGTACGGGCCCGTAAAGATTTTTCTCAGGTAAATCGCTAACTCGGGGATTGGAAGAGATTGAAAGCTGAAATTTTACGGGGGAGTTCCCTGTCCACGTAAGTCCTAATGAGCTTCAAACCAACCCCCAGGTACGCGTGGTACCTACGAACAGGCCCGCCAAAATTTTTTTCGGATAAGTTGCTAACTCGGAGAACTGAAAAGATAGAAGGCTATAATTTTAAAGGGATGTTCCCTGTCCACATATGTCTCAATAAGCTCAAACTCAGACACCGGGTCCACGTACGGGCCCGCCAAAGCTTTTTTCGGGTAAGTTGCTAACTTGAGAACCTGAGAAGCTAGAGAACTGGAATTTTAAGGGAGCGTTGCCCGTCCATGAAGGGTCGAATGAGTTCAAACTCAAGTCTTGGGTATGCGTGGCACCCACGTACGGGCCCGTGAAAGTTTTTCGCGGGTAGATTGCTAACTTGGAAATCAGAAAAGCAAGAAAGCTGAAATTTTATGGAGACTTTCCCTGCCCACGTAAGTATTAATGAGCTTCAAGCCAGCCCCCGGGTGCGCGTCGTACGGGCCCGTGGAAGTTTCTTCCGAGTAAGTTGCTAACTCAGGAACTTGAAAAGTTAGAAGACTGCAATTTTAATGGGATGTTTCCCACTCATGTACGCCTCAATGAGGTCAAATCCAACCCCCTGGGATGCGTTTACTCACGTACGGGCTCGTGAAAGCTTTTTTCGAGTAAGTTGCTAGCTGAGGAGCCAGGAAAGCTAGAAAGCTGAAATTTTAAGGGGGTGCTTGCTGGCATTTCTGGCGGCC